CCCTCCCCCCCAGCAAAAAAAAATAAATAATTCAAGGAATATTCGCCCACCACTCAGACGCACACCGTACAAACAAGTGGGAGATCACGAGCGTTCTTCTGGGCTGGACCAGCTCGTCACGAAGTGACAAGGCTGCCTTCTTTGAGCCCCCGCAATCGCCGAACTTCTCTATATGAAATGTATCAGTGGTAGAAGGGGATTTTTTTTTTGACGGAGAGAGGAGATATATATGAAAAAAAAATGAGGCAAAACAATCTACACTCAATGCTTTCCAACGCGGTATCTTTGGCGAAGAGAAAAGTGCACAAGTAAATAACTCGCACATTCATCTAACCGCATCAAGGCACACGCCCGTTCGAGGAGTTTTCTACAAAAACGCCCACATCCACCAAGAAAACATACAAAAAATGATCCCCAGGTGGGCTGGTATCTTCAGTGGAGACTTCCTCGCGTCCACCACCACGCCCCACAGGAAGTGGACGAAACTAAATTACATGACAAATGCGGAAAGCGGTGTCTGCAATGAAGCGAGTTAACACACTTTCTCCGTTACTGCGCGGTTGCAGGCCTTCGAGTGACGTGAACGCCTTTGTCCTCAGGCAAAAGGGTCAAAACATGTTCAATGAATAAAGCCTCCGCACGGGAGGCCATGGACTCCGCCAGGCCGTGGCACTGCTGTTGTTGAGTGCCTGCCGTCGGTGAGAGTTTGTTGCGCTCCCTCACCCACTCCACGAAGTTGAACTTTGTAAAGATGTGGCGCTTCCGGTAACTGCAAGGCCACTGCTTCAACAGTTTGACAATGTCTTTTTGCATCCCATCTACGGCCTCCTTGGAGAGGGAAGCCGCCGGCACACGAAGCTCAAAGGCCTGAATTCCATCGATGATACGTCGCCGCTCCTCCTCAAGCGCAATCTCGTTTGCTCTTCTCATCCACACACTTCTCCAAAGAAAAGCCTCACCGGGGCCAGGCGGCAGTTCACGCTTCGTGGCGCTAAAACGTGCTCTATTTCGTTGAAACATATTCGCCAACGCGCGTAGCGGGGGCTGGCCGTTGGTGGATGTCTCATGACGCATCACCATAAAGCGGCACACATCCCGCGCGGCCAAGGACTTATCCAGGTCGAACTGTTCCTTGTAACTTACGTAGTCAAATTTATGCCGCAACCTTTCTACAAACATGGAGTCCACCGTTCGACAACCCGTAAGCTCTCGTCGCCCCTTAACGGGGGACGCTGGCTCCTCTGTGAGATTATGAATCAACCGCCAACTTTGCACGGGCTCCCGCTTCAACCTCTCCAAGAGGGTCGGAAACCCATTACAGCCTTTGGGGGACGACAGCGATGCCTCCTGACGCTTCCGTTCCTCGCCCACACCATCGTCGTCTTCCTCTTCCTCTACTTTTTGCCGCGGCCGCTCTCGGTGGTTGCGGCGGCGGTGTAGAGGTTGCTGCGCCTTCTCCCATTTCCTAGCCGCCTCCGATATTGGAGCGTTCGCATCTCTGGGAAAACGTCCGTTGTTGATGGCAATTACCAAGGATCTATTTTTACTGAACGGTTCTGCGCTGCGGGTGACGCGTTGCTTCGCACGCTGCCCCTCCATCCACACCTCCAGCGCACCCTTTTCCCCCCCCGCTGCCGCTGCCGCCGCCGTCGCCGTCGCCGTCGCCGTCGCCGCAGGAGTCGCACTGGGCGCATTGCCGGACTGCACCCACGACGCAACGCTCTCCTTCGAAGCCGATTGGCTCTTCGCATTCGTTTTGCGCTTCCTCACCAACGCCTCATCGAGCCCGCGCGACAGGGCCTTAATGTAGAGTTGTGAGTCGGTCTCCGTTTGCTCGCAGCTCTCGCTGCCGCTGGGACGCTTGGCATTTTCAGGGAACCTGGGACATGCCTGTTGCATCAGCGACACCATGAGATCAGAGTCGTCGGCGTACATGACTTTACTACACAAAATATTCTTATTGATGCGTGACCCACGCAACCGCTGCCTAAGTGGCCCCCCGCTGCTCGTCCCCATTGCAGTCGAATTTGCAAGCGCCATACTCCGCAATTGCGAGGAGGCTGTGGAGGGCCGCCTGCCACTCGCAGACGGACGGGCCTCCATCACGTCGCTAGCGGCCACGCAACGAACTGGAAAACCGCAGCCAACGTCGTACCGAGGGGAGTCAGCAAAAAAGAGCACAATACAGAGAGCAATAAGGAAAGAAGCAAGGAAAGACAACAACATTGGGAGCATTGCTTCAAAGCTGCAAGAAAACATATATATATGTGACGACGCGGCATCAAACCCCACAAGGCCTTGCACACAGTTGCCTTATATTTAAATATATTGCAATGGAATATGTATATGCGTGTGTATTTGCCCTTGCAGCAAAAACTATTTGTCCATGCCAGTTCGTCTCCACTACAGCACCAGCCCCTCCACATGATGGGACATACCGCTTTGCTGAAGAGCCGCGCAATAACGCAGAACAGTGTTCACGTGATTACTCTCTCGCTCTGCATTGGCCAACGCCACCACCTCAAACGAACGATTCTGTTGCGCTGCAGGCTTCCATGCCTCTGCTGCAGCTTCAGCAGAAAGAATAGCTTTTCCAAGTGCTTGCGCCGCCGCCTTCCGCAAATCCTCCGACGCGAGTTGCAGACCCACCACCCGGCAGACGGACTCAGCCAACTCCTCCGCGGAATCTAACGCCACGCCTGCATCGCTGGAGGAGCGAATTCGCACAAGTAAAGTCTCTTCAAGTGGGCGGACAAACTCCGTCGCCGACACCCGTAACGCAGCGCACCACAGCAAGACACCCTCCAATAGAATGGTCATGGCCAGAGTTGGCATCGCGGCGCATCGTTGCAAAGTAAGACAGGGACGACGAAGAAATGACACTAACGCGGAGCGAATCTCCTCGTCCCCCGCAGCATCCCCGAAACCGACGGCCGCCAAGCCCATGACGCAATCCACAAAGCGATCCAGATCATCCGCTTGTGATCTTCGAGCATATTCAATGAAGTACCGACGACTGTCATCCGCCAGCTGTTGGGAGAGGGACGCATTTTCATGTTGCATGTCTGCAGATGCGGAGGCAAGGAGCGAAGCATAACCACACTGTCGGTTCAAAGAAAATGCGTGGGCCGATGAGAAACACTCTTCTCGACAAAGTGCGACCAGTCCCGGAAGGGCGGCGTACCGGCAGGATGCAAGCGCCTCCAGCAACTCCACGAGTTGATCCACCTCAGTGTTGCTAATAGTTTTTGCCTTGACGCAAGCTACGGCATGAGAAGCCGCGGTCTGCAGTAACACTTGAGACACCGCCGAATTCAGCAAGGACGACAATGACGTGAGAATGCCTATTACCTGTGACAAGCCACAAGCTTGGGTCATCATCAAACGCATCAAGACCATCTCCACTTGTTTAAAGGAGGATGGCACAAAATTGCAGGCAGCAAGACCCTCCACGAGCTCCACAGCTTCTTCCACGGAGGGATTTTGCTGCATGGCGGTTCCTATGGCCGTCTCCAAGACATTAAACAGCCTGTCAAAACGGGAATCTAACTGCCTTGTTTCACTCCGCATACGCGCCAGCAGAGGCAGTAGCGTGTTCACCTCTTTTAAGGTCAAGGACACCTTGCCTGCTGCCGCTTTGTGCGACAGGTGCTGCACCAAATCCACCAAAAGTGTATTTCCGCTGACACGGACGTTGGGCGCCTCAAGTCTGTCAACAAGTTCCGCCAACTGTGCGGACGATTGCGCGCCCAACGCGACACGCCGCAGCCCTTGCGCACTGCGAATGCCCAAGTTATAATGAACGAGAGCCTCTTTATTCGTTCGCTCCGCGTGCTGCTGGAGATCCACAACTGGAATATAACCCCCCTCGCTCATAACTCGCGTTCGGGGACCGTCCAAGCGGTACAGAAGATACTTGCATCGCGCCAAGGCGACCTGAGACACCTGTGCGTACCTCGCCTTAAAAGACGCCTCTTCCTCGTTGTCGACGGCGTCGCGTGCGAAGAAGGCGGCGTTCTGTTCCTTCACCTCGACACAGAAACGCATGATGGTGCATATCTCTTCCTCCCCCACATTTTCCAACGCATCTTTTCCTCCAAACGCCTCGACACTCATCAATCGTGAGAGCCCCTGCAAGCTGCCGCGTCGCTCAACTGCCCCGGCCGAATTGGAGAATACATATGCATTGCTGTCAGCGCCAAGTATGCTCATGATGCGAATGGCCCCAAGTGTTGTGTAAACAAATGGCACATTCGTGAGGATGCACCTTCCATCGCCCACGGCGACGCCGTCAGTGCCGCTGTCGCCCGACGCAAAAAACAGAGAAAAAGGCACCTTGTGGTTGACACAAAGTGCGGCACATGTGACGAACAATTCCAATGCGGTTGAGGGAAGACTAAAAAGCGTTGGATCGTCTCGCGCGCGGCGGGCGACAATGGCCACTTCGCGGTGAAGGTCAAGTGGCAAAAACTCCTCTGCGTCCACCGTGTCCGCCGGATGCGCTTTTCGGACACAAAAGGTTGAAGCAGCCTCAAGCCACCGAAGCGCGTCAAGCATCTGTCTCACGCTCAGCTGCGCGCCGTGCGAGGGCTCCCCCGCCTCAGCTTCCTCGTCGGGCCAGAGGATACGACGCACCTCTTCAAAGCGATGACGGATGGCAATCCAGTGCCTCTTTCGTTTTAGTCTTCGATCGTAATGCTCGTAGTCAGGACCCACATTGAGTTCCCCATAAAACGGCAGGTTTTTCATGCCTGTCGTGTCCATTAAAACGTACTCCTTGCAAAAGGAAACAAACGCCTCATGCAGCTCACGTAGGGAATCCGCATCCGGGGGTTTCTGCAGGCACTCATCTACTGGTGATGGCATCTCATCCTCCATGTCGCCAACGTCTGAGAAGCTTGTGTCTATTTCTTTCCAACCCCCGACCGAATTTGTCATATCCACCTGCGGGTGCGTTAGCTCTGCCACCGGAACTGAAAAAGTGAATGTGCGCCCCTTCTTATTTGTGTACGTGACCTTTGTGGTTCCTGGTATGCGTCGCGGGACGCCTTCTGTCATGCCCTGCTTGACCTGCGGTTGCTTCCCAAGAGGCTGGCTGAACCCGCCCCGTGTGCGTCTCCCGCCGATGGAGATGAAGCGCCGTCCCCAATGCGTAAAGTCGTGCCGGCAACCGCGAAGCATTCAGGCAGAGAGCGAGAGGGAGAAAAAAAAAAGAGAGAGAAGAGGCGAGAAACCGCGCGAGACCGCCGTCTTCGCCCCGACAGTCCCAGAAAGAGGATAAGGCTGAGAAAAGAAAGGAAAGGAAAGGAACGAGGCACAAGACTGCTTGAGTGGCGCCGTCCCCCTCAGAATACAGAGCCTTGCGAGCTTCTGTTGCTGGCGCTGATCCTCCTCCTCCTCCTCTCTCTCTTTCTCTCTCTTCCGCCGTGTTAGTTTACCCAACGAAACGCGACAACTGGCGTGCACCGTACAACACCACTGCACACATTCAACAAAATCAACATCAACACCACCGAACGGGGCGCGCACGCCCAAAAGAAAAAAAGAAAAGAACCGAACGAGAGGCACGACAGCACCCTCAATGCAACACCAACGCCGGTGGACAACTCAAAAAAAGTGGGAAGAATGGAAAGAGGAAAAGAAGTGCGCCGGAAATGATGCCACATATGATACCCACGCTCCCAGATACTCGCGCGTGGTACGAAGAGAGACAAACCACATACAAAAGCACAAAGAAAAGGGAAATGGGAAAGACGTGGAAAAGAAAAAGGGAGCAATAACAAGTAGAAGGGCAAAGTTGCAAAAAAAAAAAAGGTGCATAAAGAGCAGAGGGGAAAAAACAAGTGAAAACAAGTCAAGTGGGGGAAAGTAAAGGCATATAAGCAACTATATAGCTCGACGTAGGGATAAACAGCAGTTTGCATTCAAAAACACAGACGTACACCAACAAAAAAAAGCACGCATCCCCATACTACCGAGGGAAAAACAAAACACACTGATAAATATAAAAGAGGAGGAAACACATCGAGAAATGAAATCCCTCCTCTACGATGCACCACTAGTCGTACAATTTTGGCAATGAGGAAGCAAAGTTCACTGTAGTTTGAGTTCCCGTTGCATCTTCCGTGCCCAAAATATAATGGGTTTGAGATGCAGTATACTGAAACGTCTGCGCGCACGTGCTGCCAAGCTGTGGAAGAATATTTACTCCCACTTTAGCCTCCATTGCCTTGGCTTTTTCGTTTTCTAATCGCAAGCGCTTGGCTTTCTTCGCGTTTTCCCTCAACGCTTTAAAGTAAGGGTGCCGCAACGCCTCCCGCGCCGTTACCCGATGCTCTTCATCATACGTTAACAACTTGGTCAACAAATCTAAGGCTTCAGGTGAGGCATTCGGTAGCAGTTTCGCAATCCCCGTGCCCTGCTTCTGTGGAAATTCAAGATCCATGCGCGTACCGGACCTCTTCAGTTTATTTAATACCTCAGGCGGTGGGGTACCAATCACATTGTGGATCCTGTGAATTTGATCCAGCTCATTATTCCCAGGAAAGAGAGGAAACAAGGCCATAATCTCAAAAAAGACGCATCCCGCACTCCACAAGTCCATCTTGTACGTGTAATAGCCGTCCGTCAAGAGACACTCCGGGGCACGGTACCAGCGAGTTGAAATATATTCTGTCAATGGCTGTCTAGAGTATGCGCCTTTGCACGATCCAAAATCTGCCAGCTTCAATGTGCCATCTTCGTTGACGAGGAGATTCTCCGGCTTTATATCACGGTGAAACAAACCCGTGCGGTGAGCATGGTCGAGCCCTTTAAGAAGTTGATACATAAATTTCATCACCCACCCCTCACCAATGAAATGACGACGTCCTTTTATAAGTTCGTACAAATTCATATCCATGTATTCAAACACCAGCGCCAGTCGTCCTGTTGATCGGTCAAACATCACCTCAATGAGCTGAACTATGTTTGGATGGGGTTGCAGCCGTCGCACTGCCTGAATCTCGCGCAGGCGGTTCACCTGCTCCTTTGTCTTGAAAAGCTTTTTCATGCATTTGATCGCCACAAAACGTTTTGTCTCTATATCTTGTGCTTTAAGTACCTCACTAAACGTCCCCTCCCCTTTTTTTCCGAGAATCCTGTATTTTTGCATGGCCGCTAAGGAACAAGCCCTTGCCTTTCCCTTCCTCTCTGCCCCTCCCCCACCAAACACACACCGACACAGCGTCAGACACGGAGGGAGTCCTTTTGCCCCCCACCAACTTTTGCTTCTCCCTTAGGCAGAGAGAACCAATAAAAAAAAACGCCTATTCTCCCCCCTTCAAGACGACGCCAAAGCAATGTGCAGAGCACGTCTACACTCAGAGGCGTATCACACAATCAGCTCCACGCAGGCGCACCTAGTTCCAGCCTCCTTCAGCGAGGAAGAGGAGGGGAGGGGGGAGGGAGGACGTGGGAAACAAGTAAGGCGACACCTGCTACTTCCTTCAGTGCACCTAATATTTTTTCTTTTTATGGGTGCAAACGTGGATTTGGAGCCTGTTTACATCACCACAAGGAGAAAACGAAATAAAAATGAAGAGAAGCGGAGGAAGCATTTCATTTTTGTTCGCATCTTTATGTATAGACATATACCAACGCATATATATATATATATATGTATGTGCAGCATCATCGTTGTGACTCCCGCTAGAGGCAGACAGACGGAGGCAAGGACTGAAGAAATTGCAGACCTCTCACAGAAGAGATCTTCCCGAAATACAGACACACATATATATATCTTGATCGATAGATAGATAGATCGATAGATAGATAGATAGATATATATATATGTGTGTGTGTGTTATTACCTCATGCCTGCGGGAATATATATATACATATAAGTAACAAAAACAAAAAAAACAGTAGAAGAAACTCAACATAGTCGGAATGGATTTTTGCCCAAAGCAAAGAAGGGAAACAAAAAAAACACACACACTTCTCTTTATCGCACGCCCGTCCTTCATCGGGTGGTTGTCTTCCACGCACTTGCCCGGCAAAAAAGACTGCTCCCCCGCTCGGCAGTATTTCATCGTCGTCGTTGCCCCCTCGAAGAGAGGGAGTTAGGCGTACAGAGACCAGGTCGTTTGCGCCAGGAGGAATAACAGTATTTACTCTCAGTTATTGCTGTCGTTTTCTTTTTCCTCCCCTCTCTCTCTCTCTCTCTCTTTCCTTTTCTTCTTCCACCTACCTTGTGCCGTTGCACAACCAACGCAAAAAAAAACACCTGCACACAGGTAACAAAAAGTACTGAACGAAACACAGAGCTGCATCCCTATAAAACAACAACAACAACACACACACAGACACACAAACGCACAAAGAAGGAGGGAAAGGGACCTAAACCAATGAGGCCGCAGCAAGCACAAAAGAACAACAAGAACGTGTCAATTACTGAAACGTGTCAGGATCGCCCGTTTTTTTTTGTACTGTGGGCCTCCTTTCCCATCCATTCCTGCGCATCCCTCTCCAAGCGAAACAACCACACTCTTTCCTCTCCGTATTCATTACGCACCTCCGCCCCTCTCCTCCCAAGAGCGCTAGGGTGGTTAACTCAGGCTTCGCGAAAAATAAAAATGTTTTTTTTTGTTAGTTCCACAATAAAAAAAGTCACACGCATAAAAAAAAGAAAAGAAAAATTAGAAACAACAACAAAATAAGCAACACAAAAAACAACAACAACAACAACAGGGGAAAATAAGGCGAGTGCAAGCATGCAGGCGCCCCCCTCCTCTCCGCGCCGACGCCAAGGGGATGAAGACCACATGGCCTGGAAAAAGTACACATAAAAAAAAAGTATTTCGACTTAGCTGGGAAAATAAGCAAAAAAAACCGAAGGGAAAAAACACTAAATAAAACAAAAAACAGCGGATAGGTAGATATCATACATGTAAAGAATGAGGGCAGAAACATGGAGCAGAGATCAATTCAGCACACACACCCCTCCCCCTGGCGATGCCGACCACCCCGCCGTGGTGCCAGGGTCCAGTACTCTCGGTTATAACGAGGGGAAGCTAAGAGTCGGTCCTTCCTGAGAGCCACTGCGTGTTGGAAGGTCTAGTACCCTGTCCAAGGGGAACCAATCCCGCATCATATCGCGCTCCTGTAGTGGACGTGGTGATGCGGGTAGGTCAAAATGCGCAGATGCTTCGATGGAGTTAGGGCATAGAGTGGAGACCCTCCATCAGACAACGTGCTTTCCGCCGTTGGCCTGCGCCCGCAGTTTTTCATCTCCGAACAGCCGCGCAAGCGGCCCAAGGGGGTTTTAGTGGGTATGGATGCACTCTTCAGCATCGAGTCCCACATCGCCACGATGTCGGACGTTGTGGTGATGCGTGAGTGCATTTCCTCCTCGTTCTGTGAGCGCACGTCCAACGTCGGTTGCCGTAAAACGCACACTGACAGAAAAGAAAAAGAAAACAAAAAAATTCAGCACCCTCCTTCCTGCGGTTGCCCCCAGGACACACTGCAACCCCATGAAAAGAAGGAATGAAACACACAAAGGGGGAAAAAAATGCTGTTCTTCCGTCCTTTTGCTCCACCGTAATACCAGCACTTGCAGTGGTTGCGGAACAATGGCACGCCACCCATGAAAAAAAAAATGCAGAGGGGAAAGGAAACAACAACAAATACAAGGAAATTGTAAACATCAGAACTCCACTTGTGAACCCACCAACGGGGTGACTTGCGTGTCCCTAGTTTTCCCTACTTTCCCCCTTCTTTGCGCCAGGTAAGGCATGTGCATAAAACAACAAAAACACAAAATACCAAAAATAAAAATAAAAACAAGGAACTCTTTACCTGTATAATAAAATCTCGATTTGTCCTGGTTCGTATGTCGGTTCCCCGTTGCCAGCTGCGCCACCCGTCACCCGTCACCCCCACTCGTCTTTTGGCCACGACTCCCCGCGCACACGAGTGGGCCAAAGACACCAACAAATTACTGCACAGGAGAGATGAAAATGCCCGCCAATCCTCCATGGCGCTCAAATTACACATGAACAAAAAAGCAAAAAGAAGAACTGTAACAGTTATTCCATTTTTTTTTTGGCGCAGTGGAGATAAAAGAAGGAAAGAAGGGTAGGAAACCAAAACAAACAAAAAACAAGAAAGAAAGAGACTTAAATTATGAATGCTGTCTCACACAGCCCTTCTGAAACAAGAGCAAGATAGAGTGAAAGAGAGGGAGGGTGGACATTTTTGCGCCAACTTAATTCCCTTATCTCCATTTTCCTCATTCTATTCCCTCCAGTGCACATTAGGAACATGACGTCACTTCACTAGAATTGGGTTCTCTTCTTCTTTTCCCTCCCTGCCTTCAAACCCCCTTCCGTCTTGCTATCTCCCTTTTTTTCGCTTTCTTTTCTTCAAATTCCCCTTCAGTACGTTAATTTGCATATCACACACATTTACTTTCCTATGCACGGATATGCATTAGTGCCTATGCATGGGCAGTCATTTCACAAGCTTCTGGGGGCGTCCGTCCTGAACAGGAACCTCCCCGCTTGTGCACGGCACGTTGCCGCGGCAGTGGAGGAACGGTACTTGTATTGTTATTCACTTCTAGTGCAACAATCTCATCAAGGTACGCACACCACACGCGGCAACGAAACACTTCAAAAGCTGCTCGCTGAAAGCGTCGAAAATCGACGAACGACCTTGATTCCCTGGCAATAATAACTGTAATCTTGCGTCCGTCAAGCTGATACATGACATCTTTAATGTGGGCGGGACACCTTACCTTCCATGCAAGCATGCACATCGTGCCGAGAGCCTTTTTCTCCTTTGCAGCAATTGCGTTGTGGCATTCAAGGTCTTCGGGTGTGGCCGCGCGGAGCACTTTTACTCGGGTCTGATTCGGTTTGCTCGAGAGGGGCTCAACGAGCTTGACAAAGCCAAGGTCCTCACCGCGATCCCCCTCCGTGACCAACGCATCTCCCACCTTAACGCTGAAAGGAGCTTGAAATTTTTTCACTCCGTACTTGAACCCAACCAGGCCGGTGCAAGAAACAGGGTCCTTTGCATCCTCGGTAGGCAAAACAACTGGTGGGGTGGCGTTCAGGCCGGCATCCACCAAGAAAGGGGCATCTAGTGCGGCGGCAAATGGGGCAGGGGCGGCAGCTATGGCGGGCAGTGGCTCTGAAACGCAGGGACCGTAGGGGTTGTGGCGGTACCAGCGAACACGCTCCGCACCCAGTGTCTTACGGGAAAAAGACAGAGACGGAGATGGAACCATTACACATAATAATAAGAAAAATTTGCTGTTCTTATTGCTTTTTGGTGGTTTATTGCAAGAACAACCAATTTAATAAAAAACTTTCTAGAGAAACACGTAAAAGAGAAGGTAGCATACGTGACGATGTTAGTGTAGCCTCTGCCCACACCACCGCCACCACCACAGCCGTTATCATCATCACCGGCAACAGGTATGATTGTGATCTATTGCGGTGTCCAGGTCGAAGGGAAAGAAGTGCAGGCCCCCGTATGGATAGCTACACGTGCACCGACCTTCTCCCCCCACTCTCACTCCCGGCTTCTAGCTTAAGATGTGTATATCATCTAGTTATCAGCGTTAATTTCACAAGCAATAACAAATGCAGAGCAGAAAAAAAAAACGTACATAAATAATTATGCAAATAAAAGCCATCTTTTTTTTTTTGCACTATCCTAGCCCCATACTTCAAAACTTTGTGTGAGCTCAGAATAACGGGGCGGAGGAGGCGTGTGCGTCAGCGTGCGCAGGGCACTCTCTGGAGGTCCCCTTCACCTGAAAACTCTGGTTACTCCTCCATCACATTGCAGCATTTGCCCGAGTTGGTTCAACCGCCTTTGTTTCTTGTATCCCCACACTCACCGTAGGCGGGCCCACCTCATATGATGAAAGCACCTCAACCGCCACCACGACGGCGTTTCCATCCCCAGCCTCGGTGGACGCGCTTGAGCCGCAGCACGGCCACCAGCCGATTAAAAGCTGCAGTTGCCACGGCGCCCCATCTGGTGAGTGACGCATTGCCACAAATGTCACAGCCGTCACATAGAAGGACACAAGAATATCGTCGGTGTAGTGAGAACGGGAGGCAATAATAAAGTAGAAACTAAGAAGGACCAACACAACAGACAGGGGCCGAAATATCATGTGCAACATGGGCCCATAAACCCACTGCAGCATGACACTAAGCGTGATGTTGACTGTATGACCGCTGAACATTAGATCCCCGCAGTGAATTGCCCCAGAACCTAGCGTTACCACCGTCAGAATCACGTTTTTAACCGGATTTTCGATTTTTACTGGGTTCTGGCAGTGATTGTCTGTCGCGGGATATGACGTCATGACAATAACAAGTGAACGAAACAGCAGGACCGTAAAGTACGTTGTCACGAAGCGAATCCAGGCAATCAAATGCACATCCCGCTTTTCAATTCCAGTATCATGCTTTCCTTCCCACACACCAAAAAGGAATCTGCTGACAAATGGAATCTGAAATGGAAGCTGTATTTCATTGCGCCTCTCGCTCTGACGATGGAGCAGGTACAACTTAAACAAGACCAGTATACTAAGCGCGTTAAGAAGTCCTATGCCGACATCCGTCATGTTCTCCAGCCATCCAACTTTTGGAAACAACTCAAAAAGAATATCGGGCAGTGGCCGAACAATCTTGGGGTCTGGCATCCGCTCATTAGTCACCAGAAGTGCACAGGCGAGGATAAAAATAGAGAATAAAAGCACTGGTATGAAACGAATGGCCTGCGTTTTCAGCGGCAGCGGCCCCGAAGGCCACGCACGTTCCATTAAAACCAACAAAACTCCTTGATGTGCAGCCTATATATATAAAAAAAGGACAGTCCGCACGCTTGCTATATCCACATGGGGTCGGCGGTGGATGAGAAAAGGAAGGAAAAGTCGCGAAGAGGCATGAAACCGCGGAACTCCCCGTCCCCCCCACACGCCTCTTCACCAGGGGTAAAAGAAGAAATACGCAACTACGAAAAAAAAGACATCAACAACAACACAGGCACCACAGGAGGACAAAACGGCACGCGGCACGGATGAAACGGCCACCGTACTCCCCGCCGTGAACGCCACACAGCCAAAACTTTTCAAACTCACTAAACAGGCAAGTTGGGGGCAAATCAACTCCCGCATCGCCCATATCATTGGGGGAGTGCGCCGGCTACACGAACGCGGCTCTCACCACCGGCGAAAATGAATCCCCGGGATTCATGGAAGGCGCAGGTTGTCCTGCCACTTCGCGGACGCTCGCTGAAGGGGTGGTGGTCGTAGTTGTTGTACCTGCCCTGCTTGGGGTGTCCTCGCTGGCGTTCTCGTCCCTTGCCGCACTTTCGTACCGAATTTCCCGCACAACATTCACTGTTGTCGCCACGACGATGCAGAAACAGAGGGCCGCTAACGGCAAAAGATGGCCGTGGCGTACCAACCAGCCATTCACGTTACGGCCTGCCCCCGCACTCTCGCGCATTGTCAGGTGCAAATATCTCGCGCATCGGGGCGGAGTGCAGAACACAAAACAAACCAGGCAGGAAGCCAAACGCAGATGCCCAGCGAGGAGGAGGGAACAAGAAGAGGGCGAAAAAAAAGGGAAAGAAAATTTTAAAGAAGAAATACAAAGAGAGGAAACCTAAATCCATGCGTGGGTATCGATAAATTAACTGCCACTACCTCACCACAAACGCCGGGAAGAAGACCGGCGAGGCCAACTGGGGATTAATAACAATGAGGAATAATAATAATAATATTAATAATAAAATAGACGCCTGAGCTCATCTCCATGCATGGCCGCTACCAACCCTTATCTCCACCTTCCACGCCCAATCGCTGAGTTCCACTCTGGCAGTTAAACCGCTCAGAGAGAATGTCAGCAAAAATAAGAGCACCATCTGTGCATAGCTTTGCCGTGCCCGCGGGTAAAGTTCCCAGACATGCGCACCACTTCTCTCCATTCAGCTGAGCTGCGATAGGATAGGGACCTGTTGAGGCACGACCCCAAAATGGAAACCACCGTTGATGTACTGAAGCAGTATTCAACGCACGCAATAACTCCAGCGTCGCTGCAGCAACTTCGGTAGAGGAAATTGCATCGCCAGAGGTCATGTTTCGCCGCTCAAGCTCATTCAAATAGGTCTCGTACCGTTCCACAATGACTGAGGGTGAGATGAGTTGTGACAACAGCTTTGCATTTGAGGTGTGTCCCACCGCAAGCACACAAAGTGCCCGCACCGCGACATCGTACGGAAACACCCCGTTTAATGTTTTCTCTACCACCCCCCTGCACAATATCTCCGAAGCAAAGGCCTTGTTGTTGCCGCCCCGCCGGGACGAAAGTGTCTCTTTCTTCCTGTCAACGGTTTCCGCAGTAAACAAGGAGCGATGCACAATGCACCAGCTATTAAAAATATCGGCAATGTAAAAATACGGAATGTCGTACGAGACGTGCTCCTCTAGCCACGCTATTTGTCCAGGTAGATCACACTCCTGTAGGATCTGCTCAAATGTCCAGCGCTCCGCCTCCTCGTTACTGCCGCCTTCCCTGCCAAGACGCTCGATCATGGTCTTGAGAAAGTCCTCCGAGTAACCATACTTCTCGGTGAACGCAACAGGAAACACATGCTGCTGGAGATAAAGCTGCAACTTGAGGTTGCTCATACGGAGCTGTCTAAGGTAGCTCTCGTCAATGAGGTGCTTTTCTTCCACGGCGCGGTAGGCCACCCATCCAGTGGCAAAGCCACCAATTGGCAACAACACACTCTGACCAAAGGAATACAAGCGACCAAGCGCCATCGGCAGACTACGACGGAATAAAGAAGCGGCATAGACCACACACACACACACACACACGCAACGGGAAGCCGGCAAAGAGGGCACCAATGGCAGGAAGCGTGGAAGGTGCCTCCTCGTGCCGAGGAGGCCTCAAGCAGGTAGCAAAGGGAGAAGTGCGGGAACGCAACAGAGGGCCCTCTCCAAGTCTCGAGTGGAATAAACTTCGTTTTAATGGAACAGAGAAGAAACAAACGTGACTCTCCTCCTAAAATTACGAGAAGATCACAGGAGAAGGAAGGAAACCCAAAGCAGACATTCATTATATAATAATAATAATAATAAAGCGTAACCGTATGACACGTGCTCTCCGTTTTTGGTTGAACCCCCTCTACTTTTTTTTTTTTTGGGGGGGGAGGGGGGGGGATTGCTCCCCCAAT